CCCCCCCCCCCCCCGAGCCACAGCTCCCCCGGGGCCGTGGGGGGGGACCGGGGGGGACCCAGACCCCGCTGCGGCACAGGGGGTGGCACAAGGCGCAGGAACCAGCTCTCACAAACCACCACCCCTGGCATGAACCCCGGGCTTTTGAAACGACTACCTCGGGAAGGGGGGAGGTGTAACCCCCCGCTGACCATCGCCAGCCCTCTGGGCCTCACAGGTACCCCACAGGTACCTCACAGGTACCCCTCTAGTGTGCCAGGTGTCCCACGCCGGGACATCAGAGGAACTGGCCTACGGCACAAGGACTCTTCTGCTTCCAAATACCCAGATTAAACGTCCCAGGGTGAGAAATTCAGTTCTTGGAAAAAACCCAAGCGCAGCTCCCCGAAGGGAGGGAGCTGTGTTTCCTTATGCTAAATGGGAATTTGGTCCCTTCGCTCTAAAACTATTCTTCGCAGCCTAAAGGTAGAAATGTGACAAGAAGGTGGTTCCCTGGCAGCGTTCCCAAGGACAGATTTCCCCTGGGGGCAGGGCCTTGTGACAAGAAGGTGGTTCCCTGGCAGCGTTGCCAAGGACAGATTTCCCCCGGGGCAGGGCCCGGGCAGAGGCAGGGTCGGGATGAACCGCTCTGCATGTGACCCCGCGCCCGGAGCAGGGCTCACCCTCGGCACCTCACGGAGAGCTGGACCTTAAAAACCTCCCACAAACCCTACCTTTTTTGCAGGTAGATACATCACGGGACCTTACTTGCAATAAATAGTTTCTGTTATTATCAGACCTGTTTGTTGTGTTAAAAAAAAGTAACTGTGGGGACTTTCTCCAAGTATTTTTCGAAAAGCAGAGGTGTAACTATAAACTAGCCAAAGCGTAACCATAGTTATTACAGTTTAGAACACACTGAAAAAAACATCTCTCCTGAAATATTTGAGGAATCTCTACTTTATTGACCTTACCCAGAACATTAAAGCAACATAAAATTATAATAAATGTTTAAGGACCTTGGGGACTATTTATTTCCAAAACGGAACATTCAGAATAAGGGATCACCTTTACAGTTACTTCATCGTTTTGGTTTCAACTGCTCAACATTCCCTCTAGAAATGTAGCTCTGCCATTCTTTTTTTTTTTTTTTCTTTTCTTTTAAAGACTTTTGGTTGCTTTGTATAAACAACATTACTACAAGGTTCAATGTCCCTACAAAACCAGGTGTCCTCTCCATGGTGACACCCTCTGGTCACCCGGCCGAAGGGAGGTGACCACGACCTGACCCACTCACCCCAGTGACACGTTTATCCCACTGCAGGGACTCGTGTGCTCTCAATGGTCAGTGCTTTCATGCTCTCGTGACACAGATGTACTGAAAAAATCCAACCAGAGGGAAGGAAAAAGATGTGTGAGACACACCACTACGGGGCTGCTCTGGACAGTGGGTGGCTCCTGCCTTCTCCTCCCACCCTAAGAGATGGGTGCTCCAGCCCCAGCGCCGGGCAGGAGCGGAGCTCAGCGCCTCCAGTGAACCAGACTTTATGGTGACGTGGCTTGAAGAGCAAAATAAATTCAACACTTTATTCGGCAGACACTGCCTAGAATGGGATCACAAGAGAACTGCCCACACTACGCTTCCATCCTGCTCGTGTTTAGAGCTTCGGGGACGCAGGGATCCCCTCCTCTGCAGGACCTGTCCTTGCCTCTGCCAGCCCAGCCCAAGCACACAGCAACCTCAGAGCTCCCTCTGCGCTATTCACTGGGACATTTCCCTGCCTGCCAATGGTTAACAGAGGGTTTACACTGTTCCTAGGCTTGTGGCTAGCTTTCTGCACGGGGGTGAATTCCATTCATAGTGGAGATCTGCGAAGCAAATGTAAGTTACTGAGCAGGAATAAAAACTTACTAATAAATCAACAGACTGGAAAAAACCAAGTCTGAATAAAGCCTTCAAGGAATTTTAATTTTGACAAAACTCAGTTGTTTTTTTTTACATACTAAGAAAACCTGATTTTTTTTAATTTTTTTTTTTTTTTAATAATTCTGTACAACACAGCTAGAGCTCAGAACATCTTCAGAGAAAGTGGGAGGTGGTCTTCAACCACAGGCAGGACGGGCTTCCTCTTAACTAAGCACTGTCTCATTTTTAGAGTGAAACTCCACAGTCTTGCAAAGAATGAAGCCTGCTCATGCGCAGTTTTGGAAGCAGCCCCGTAACAAGCGTGTTCAGCAGCCTGGGAAGAGCCTTCATGGAAGTGCCAGACACAACCAGCACTTGAAAAAAAGTCAAGAAAAGGATAGGTACCAAAGTAAGGGCAGCAGAGCTTCCCTTTCAAAAGAAACGCCAAGTGAAAACAAAGTGATTCTAAAGCTAAAAGTGACAAAGCAATAATTAAAATTACAGCGGACATTCAACAGCTGATAGTATTTCCCTGAAAAAGATAAAACTGCTTCCCATTCCAAGCCCCAAGGGCTCTCCCAGCCCCAGCGCGTGCCCCTGCCCTGGCACAGCCCTTCATCCCGCAGCAGCCAGGGCTCCAGGTGTCCCCTCTGCAGATGACCTTCCACAGGAGGTGGCCTGTGGCCAGCAAAGGGACAGCCCCAGTGACTCCTGGCTGGGAACGGCTACAGCAGCAGAGGCCAGTTCTGCCCAGCGTTCCCAGACAGACGAGTTCTCTCCTCGTGAAAGCAAAGTGAGTTTTGGACACGAAGGGGTCCCTCTGCAAACAGAGCCCAGCTGAAGCCCGACAACAGCCTCCCTGCTCTCTGGATTCCCCACTGCCAGCTCTGGGGCTCGCTCCCCTCACCATGAGGAGAGTGATGGAAAAGCCTTCTAAACCTTCTCTCTCCTTTTTTTTATTAAATACAGGCAGATAAACTTCTCATTTGGGCACCGTATTTACCTGCCTGATCAAATAAGCGTAAGAAGGAAACGGTGTCACCCAAATTGCGGGTTGACACAAGCCAGATCAATCCCTTCAGAAACTTCGGCACAAAAAGCCCTGATCCCTGAGACATGGGAATTCCCTCTGACATCTCCAGGCACGAGCCTCCGCGGCAGCACGGCCACAAGGATGTGCCTGCACCAGGAATGACACCCGGTCCTTCGGAAGCAGGTGCCTGGGGGTGTCCTGTGAGGCTTCAACCTAAAGGACCCCAAAACATTCCCATCATGGCTGTTCCCTGTAGTACATCTCCAGTACAGACCATTGAATCCAGGTCTTTAAAATCTGATCCCTGTGTCCTAATCCAGCATCTGAGACCTCCCAGTATCGCTGCATGACTGGGCCCACTGCATCCCATGGGATACGCAACAGCCCTCTGGTTTGAGACCGGCCATTGGTTTCACACAGACCTCGGAAGCAGTGACTGAGACAGAAGTGTCACCTGAAAAAAACATCTATATTTCATCAAACTAAAGGATAAAAAAAGCAGAACATACCCACAGCTTTCCGGAACCATCTGAGGGTTCAGAGGCCAAAACCTCTCTTGAAACAAGAGCCACCAGGGAGGGTTTAGGGGGGTCGTGGTAAGGACCTCAGCTGCTCCCACCTCTTGGGTGGATAAACTGCTGGCATGTTACTTCTTGTTAGAATTTAGCTTCTCCTTCCAGAAGTTTCCATTTGGTCTTTACCAGCAGGATGCATGGGTTACTGTTTAGGAGCATCAAGAATTCATACACAATTTTTTCTTGAGGTCAGGTATTTATGCCAAGTATTTATTGACGGTTAAAGTGGTGCAGACCACACACCACACTCTTGATATTTCAGTTGCATTTTTTTTTCCTCTTTTCCTGCCCTGGGCTTTACTCACATAAATTGCCCAGTAGCTGTTTTCAGAGCAACTATCAAAGGAAGCTGGGCTCAGATTTTTCCCAAAAGAGATGTTTTAATACCACTACTGAAACACTATCCTGTGTTCCCTTCTTATTTAGCAAAGAACGAGAGATGGAAAAACAGGGAAGCAGTCAGATGACAGTGACACCAAAAAGCCTCCAAGAAGAGAATTTTTTTTTTTTTTTTTTAATAAAACAACCAAGAGCACCAGTGATCTCCCAGCATGTGCTGCTGGTACAGCCGCAGTGGCCAGCACCCCGGGAATGACCACGGATGCAAAGTCCTATTTAGGGTGTCATTCATTGAATGTCTGAACCCTCCACTTAAATGCTGTGATAAAACAGCAATGCCCATTCAGTATAAAAATTAATCTTATATGAAATAAGGCAAGAGGGAACGACAGGGAACTGGAAATGACTGCAGACCCGCTGCGGTGGAACAGGGTACGAGGTCGGGCCACTCTACGGGTCTCTACGCTGCGCAGTTTAACTTGGGAGAAATTCCTCAAATGCTTCTGAACCTCTCCTCCTACACAGAAAAGTATTCCTTGAAGTGACAGATGATGGGAACGGGTGGAAACACCTGGAAGAGACACTGGACCAGCCAGCTGGAAAGCACGTTCTGGGGGTGGGAGTAAGTTGGTTGCTTTGTCACAGCCACTGTTTCACAGACCCTCAAGCTTCTCCAAAGGAGGGAACAGGACTGGCAGTAACGGTGGGGCTGAAGGTATTAATGGCAAAAACCCCACTTCCACTGGCTGCACAGGAGCTCAGGAAGAGCGGGGGCTGCTCGCTGTGCCTCTGCCTGTCTGCCCCAGACTGAGATGGAGGGGGGCAGCTGGTTCGGCCACTCTTCGGCCTCGGGCAGAAGCAGATTTCAGGCTGCAGGTGGAGGAGAAATGATTGCAAAGACAAGGCAAGGCCAGCAAGATACGGAGCAATATGAGCAGGAGGCATGGGATTTGAAAATAAGACTCTGGGACTGGTGGAGGTTCACACCAAAAAAGGAGACGCTGGAATAAAACTGCCGCTCTCCACATTTTCCCCGGGGGCTCTACCTTCTGGCAACTGAACTAGAGCTGAAGGTTGCCCAGGGCAAGTCTCTGGTCGTGCAGAGCAGCCTCACGCAGCCTGTACCTGCCAGAGCAACCCTCTCCAGGTCTCCTACCACAGAACACCTGCAGGGTCACACCAGACTCTGCGCCACCTTCCTCGTAGGGCTCTTGTCTGACGACTCATCTGGCAAAGGAGTAGCTTAAAACTCTTAAAGAGGAACTAGAGTTCTTTAAAACAACGCTCTTTGAAAGCTGGACACTTTGTGCAATACTTAGCAAAAAAATAACAGAAAATAAAAAACAAAACAAAATTTGAGCAAAACAAAATCAAATTTAATGTTCTTAAATGCAAAAGTAAAAACAAACAAAAAACACAAAAAAGCAAAAGAAAATTAACAGAAACAGAACAACTCAAAGTTTCAAGGCAGTCTGCAGAAAACTTGGGGGATTAATCTTTAGATCTACAAATCAAAGGGGGTTTTTTGTTAATATCTAACTTGCAAGTAGTAAGTACTTTTCTGCTGAGTGTTCAATAAGTAAAGCTAGTCGTCAAAACAAAATCCTATTAAAATAGAAAAATCTAGCACTCATTAGAAGGGATGCGAGAAATACAATGCTCAAATGTTTATAACTGTTTTTTTTTCTTTACAAAATAGAACTACTGAAGGAATTCAAACTATAATGATCTTTGAAAATGAGTAAGTATCTGGCTGCATTATAATGTACCAGTAAGTAGTGCACCATGCATTAAATATTTGGACAGAAGAGATTCAGTTTGATAAAGTAGCAACATATATTCACACTCTCTTTTTTTGGAGTTTCATTTTTGACTCTGAAATCTTCCCGGAGTTTCTTTGAAACTCTTTGGTCCGTTCCTATCAGCGAGTGGGCTTTAAAAGTCATGTTTCTAAAAACCTTTGAATTTGCCAGCTCAGCCACTGCTCAGTGCGCAACTTACCTCATCAATGGTGTTAAAAGTTAGGCGGGCATGCTACTACTTACAAGACCTTGACTTTAGAGAGCCTCATCCTCAACTACATACACGTAGTAATGCATATTAATCCATCAAACAATTTACTGGCAACTAAAACATTAGTATTTCTCCACTTTTCTTCCACACTACCATGTCTGGGGTAGAGGTCAGGGGAATGGGTAGGAAAAAAACAACAACATAAGAAAAAAAATAAACAAGAAAATTAATGAATTCAGCCTGATATTTTTCAGAAAATTCCAGTTTTTGCAGACAACATTCAATTGAACAAATGTTAGTCTCATAAGTGAAAGCATGCTTCAATTTTACCACCATCCAGAGGGTCTAGTTAATGCAATCTACTTAAGATTTCAGGGGATTTTTAACATGTTTTAAATGAAATAACTTAAAGGAACTTAAAATTGGTCTGACATTGTGGGATTTCAAACATTTGAACATGTCAGTTGCATCCCAGAATATAAAACCTTTTTCACTTCTCATTTAGACTAAGACAAACACTTGTGAAAATTGGCGCAAAATGAGTTTTACACTAACAAAAATGTTTCAACTTCTGTCACTCAATTATCTATTCCATACAAAAAGCACGAGCAAGTTATTTGTGGGACTTGTTGGTTTTGAAGGAAACCTGTAAGATTTTGTCCCCCAGGCGGTAGCCATTAAGACTTGCTATGGCCATTGCAGCTTCTTCATAGTTTGTCATGGTCACAAAACCAAAACCTTTGCACTTGTTGGTGTTGAAATCTCGAATAACTTTCACATTGGTAACCGCACCAAAGGGGCCAAACATCTGCCAGAGGATTCCCTCATCAGCATCTTGACCAAGGTTGTAGATGAAGATACACCAGCCAGAAGATGCGTTTCCTGGAACATTTACACCAGAAAGCCCACTCATGTGATCTACACCCATAGGAGAGAACCTAGCAAATAAAAAGCACAATATTTCATGTAAAAGTTCAATTCAATTCAGCAAATTAACTTGAATGGGAAGCAACTGAGAATGAATTATTTTCTACATGGACATCAAAAAACGCCAGAAAGAAACGTTTCCCCATTCAAATTGACAATCAAATTGACAGCTGCCAGGAAAGAAAAAGTTAAATATTCCAACTACTTTTTCAATAGGGAACTATCCTACCTAGAAACAGGGAGACAACAGAGCAGTTGCAAGGCAAGATTACGTGATCACCTTCACCGGGGACCCGGCTGGATCCCTGACACCCAGCCAGGCTTTAGGAGCACTCGGGGCACCAGCGGGGAATCGCTCGGGTGCGGGTGAGAGGCAGCCCCTCCCCAGGGACCCCGCTCCCTCCAACCACCCCCAGGCATCTCCTGCTCATCCCACTCAGGGATCCCGTATCCTGCTTTCCTTGCCTCCAAAATAGCACATTGGGAACTCTTCAATCAAAGGGTTTCTTTGGGTTTTCCAGAGGCAGTGTGTGTGTGTGTGTGTGTGTGTGTTTGTTGTTAGGTGTAGAGATTATGTGTATTAATTTACATAAAAGTCTACTCCCTCCTCCACCATAAGGCAGCGGGTGCAGGGAAACGCTCCCAGCTCAGGGAACATCAGCACCTCCCCAGGCAGTTCCCGGTACCCGGGATGCCCCACGTTTCTGGCTACACAATTCTAACCTCAGGGTTTTATTCCTCAATACCGGTTACACAAATATTCTGCATTAGCTCTAAATTATCAAAATAGCAAATCACATTTCAGTAGACAGTTTTACAATTTCAGTATGCATGTATACTTTTCTTCTTATTAATTTTTCACCAATCTCACACTAGGAAAACTTTTCTGACTTTTCTGAACCGGAATTTTTTAAACCACCTGCCGACTCTTCCTAAACCCTGCCTCCTGCAGAGTGCCCCGGCATCATATTTATGCATAACAAAAAGAAAAAAAAAAAATCCTCTCTTTTTTGTCTTGTTTTGTATTATTTTCTTTTCTCCTATTACCCACATCTCTGATTCCCCTTTTTTTCTACTTCTGGTCTCCATCCTAGAAATTCAAAGCTTCAGAGTATTTTAATGCAGTATTACGGTTGCACAGCTAAGCACTCAAAGGTCAGGAAATGTGAAAGTTAAGGTAAAAAAAAATTCAATTTGATCCCTTGTGCTTATGTATTATTTAAAAATGTGAGGTCAGGTGATTGTAGAAATATAATGATACTATACCAGGGGTTCCCAAACTGTGGTGTACCACTGGTGATTTGCAAACCACTTAAAAGCGGTACCCGTGCTGCTCTCTGCCAAGAGCATGGCGGTGGCAGTTCCTGATTCTCTGCTGACCTGGAGGAAACAGGGAACGGGTGTCTGGGCAGTGAACGCTGCATTAGGAGCCAAATGCCTCCCCACTGGCTTTGTCCTGCCCTGCATAGAGACGGGAGCTGCCGCTGGCTCTGCGCGGAGGGAGGGCCGAGGGCAGCGAGGATGAGGAAGGGCTGCGGCAGCGCAGGCAGCCAGGCAGGGGTGTTGGCTCACGGTGGCCCTTGGGCTGATGCACCACTCGGTCACCTTTTCCCACCCCCCCAGGCTCCCCGGTGCTTGGAGCTGGTTTCTGGGACACCTGAACGGTGAGACCCGCGGGCAGGCAGAGGGGGCCAGGTTGGGTGGCACAGAGCCCGCAGCGCAGCCGGGGGGACACACCTGAGCTGCAGCCCCTCACTGCCGCTGCCACGCCGGGCCAGCCCCAACAAATCCAAGTTTGGGAATCCTTGTACTATAGTAAAACTGAAACAGCGGTTAAGAGCATCAGAATGCAAATGAGACGCGCTAACCCATGTGATCTGATGATTACGTGATAGATCTACTATTTATTTTGCTTTTATATAAAAATGTTCTTGTGTTGGAATGCTTTATACGCTTACTTTTTCTGACAGACACCCTCGGCTCTGGAGCTTCTTTCCATTGGAGTTCTCATCTGGTAGGATGTATTTCTATTAATACCTGGGAAGCTTTCACCTCAACAGATCACCAGTCCCGGGATCCTGCTCACGTGTTTGGGGAGTAGAAAATCACTAAGCTCCGAATTGCACGACATTGGTTCCAGCAGTCGGTGCAGCTCCCGACCTGCTCCCCATAAAGCCTCGGGCTCTGCCCACAAGCCCACACCAACAGCACATCAAGGACTGGAAACACTTGCAGAAGAGCAGCTGAGGGTTGAATGCAGGAAGACAACAAATCTAAATGCATATTACAGACGAAATAATTTAAAATAGCAAGTGCCTCTGTTCTTTGGATACAGTAATTTTCAAACAGACTGTCCTTCTCTTCCTGCTTTGACTCACAAAAACATTTTATATAAAAACCAAACCAAACCCCAGGGTAAAAACACCCCTAAAAGCCCTGAAAAGTCACTTCAAAACCAAACAAAAAACCCCACACAACAAAAAACAACCATAGGAAATATCACCTCATACATCATATCCCCCTTACCCAGACTGAACACCACTCTAAAGCCAACCTGTACTTTGCAAGTTCACATGAAAAAATAAACCTTTCCCAAAAGTTTCTGGCTGGTTAAAAAGCAAACACTGAACAAGAAATGTGCAGAAGTGCCAGTAACCATGGTGCAGGGTTAGACCTGTGCAGGAGGCTAAACTCTGACTTGCATCCCCCCGACAGGAGCGGGAGCACTCGCCCAGGTCCCTGGGGCACCCCGATGCACCTGAGCCCCCCCCGGCCTGACGGGGGGACACGGGGTGCCCAGGCCGGGGGTACCGCGCAGCTGGGCACAGAGCGGGCGACAGCTCACACCCCTCTGTCCTCCAGGAAGAGACTTTTCTGACCACACAGACTTAAGAAGACTCTTAAGAAGTTAAACGTATTACGGTTGTTTAAAAGACTGTCTGATTTGGGCAAATAACACTAAAGCCCACAGAGATCCAAGATGTTTTGGAGAAAATTTTAAAAGAATTCCATTAATACTATAATTTGAGGGGTCGCAGTTTTGTCACACAGACTGCAGGTGTCCTCGTTTTTGTTTCACTTATTTTTATACTGTCTCTCCACACTGCTTTGTCAATCCTCCCTAAGCGTCTAAAGATGAAGTTATTTATGGATAACATGACTTTTAAGCCATGCTAACCTCAAAATTCCAACATCTTGTGACATTATTTTTATTGTAATCTTTTTCACCTTATAAGTTTCTCAGTTGTATGAAGGACCTTTTGCTCTACTCTTATGAGACAGGTGACTTCATTTAATAGATTCTGGGATTATTTTAATACACTAGAGGACATACTCTTAGAAGTGACAACTCCTAGATGAAAATAATTTCTTTTGAGTGCTGTAAAAGTCCTATATATTCTTTTTGCTGAATTCTTTTCACTGCAGTTTGAGAGCAGCCACGTCCAGCGCCAGAGGAGGGAGCAATCTCACCGCTCACATAGTCCTAATAAGCAGTAGTATTATTTTTAGTGTTAGCCTACGTTGCCTTCGCACATGAACCTGGCACTGTTTTATTTTTGAATAGTTTCACCACGAAGAGGAGTTCAGCTGCACTGATTTAGCGATGCCTTTCATCAGAGTTAGGTTGATGGTTGAACTAGGTGACCTTGAAGGTCCCTTCCAACCCAGACAATTCTATGATTCTGTGACACTGGTCACTGGCTTAAAAGTTGAAAATTGAAACAATTTCACTGCAGTGAAACCAAAGAGATGTGCGGGAGCTGTCTGAGCCATAGCATCAGTCCCAGGGTTAAACACGCTACAGTCTCCCCGCATTTCCCCTCCATCAAAGAATTATCAAGAAGTGACAATTCCCCTTCAGGCATTTTGGACCCAGCCCATGGACTGGGCTACCAGCAGAAGTGTGCCCGCTAAAATAACTGGGAACCAGCTCCAGCACTGAACAAGTGTGAAAGCAAAACCAGCTGAACTGGGAATATTTTCAAGATCTGAAAAAAACATTCTTCTAGCACAAAGCTCCGGTGAACTCTGAAAGCCCAGGGCTTCTAGGGACTTGCCTGATAAACATCTTCACTTCAGCAGAGCTCAACACCTAAAGAGCTGCCTTCTGTTTAAGTAAACAAACCTTAATCGAGAGAAACCCTCGCCCTGGGTGTTTGATCTGCCCTCCAAACACAACCCCACGCTGCAGAGTCTGGATGGATGGGAGCAGCGTGCCTGGGACCGCAGCTCAGAACCGGTGAGGCCAACCCCGTGGGACAGGGCACCGCCACCCGCTCCCCACGGGAGCCACAAACACCACCACAAGGGATTAAGAACATTAAACAAAGGGTCCGAGTGATATCGGTAGGAAATTAATAATTACAAATTAGAGATGCTAAAGGCTTAATCCTGGATTTCCTGGGATATGATGGAATAGGATGAAGTATAATCAAAATGTCAGTTTAAGTATTCAACCTTGATGTAGCAGAAACCACAACCGTAATTTATACAGACTGTGAGCTCTCTGGAAGCAGCTTATCCTTTCATCATGTTTTGTTCACTACACAAAACAAACAAGACTCAGTCCAAGCTAAGGTTCCTAAGCTTTACCACAGTATGAATAATTATAACTCATTAAGTTCAGCATCCTTTAAGGAAGACTCATTAGAAAAACTCGCAATTAACACCAAAGGTGGGAAGAAAAATAAGAAGGGCTGTGGGATGTTGCACCTGCCGTGTGTACAGGTGTGCAGGGATTTGTGACTGAGGGGAGGAAGTTTTATAATGCGCATTAAAGTTCTTGCAAGTCTGTGACACGACACGAAGAGAGATGGACAGCATTTGTCTTCAAGTCAACTGGTGAATCTTGTCTCAACAGCGTATTCATAACAGTATGGCTTAACCCAGAGCTGCTGTTACTGCCTCTGCTGATCTCTAGTACCTCAACACCTCCAGCTCTCGAGCTCTCTGCATCAGGAGAAGTGTGGCCAGCAGGCCTCGGGAGGTGATTCTGCCCCTCTGCTCTGTGCTCGTGAGACCCCACCTGGAGCTCTGTGTCCAGCTTTGGAGTCCTCAGCACAGAAAGGACATGGACCAGGTGGAATGGATCCAGCGGAGGGCCACAAAGAGGATCAGAGGGATGGAGCACCTCTCCTATGAGGACAGGCTGAGGGAGCTGGGGTTGTTCAGCCTGGAGAAGAGAAGGCTCCGGGGAGACCTTAGAGCGGCCTTTCAATACCTGAAGGGAGCTCCAGGAGAGCTGGGGAGGGACTCTTTGTCAGGAAGAGAAGTGACAGGACAAGGGGTAACGGTTTTAAATTGGAAGAGGGGAGATGTAGATTAGATATTAGGAAGAAATTCTTTCCTGTGAGGGTGGTGAGACACTGGAACAGGTTGCCCAGGGAAGTTGTGGATGACCCATCCCTAGAAGTGTTTAAGGCCAGGCTGGAGGGGGCTTGGAGCACCTTGGTCTGGTGTGAGGTGTCCCTGCCCAGGGCAGGGGGGGTGGAACTCGATCTCTAAGGTCCCTTCTAACTCTAACCATTGCATGATTCTGTGATTCTCCATCAGCAGGCCTATAGCAGAAGTTGGCCAAAATGTGTTCACAAATGAATGCTGGGCACAGATAACTTGAGTGGACAAAGTTACCCCAGCAGCAGGAATGGAACAGAAAGAGACAGAACACTTTCTCCTATCTTATCCCCACTTGTGAAAACTTCCATCTGTACAAACACAGGACGCAGATAAAGAACACTAATCCTGCTCTCGATGGTACAATAAAGAACAACGAACGAACTGAAGTGGAATCAAATAAAACCAAGGACGATGTTCTTCCAGCTTGGAGGTGTCACCAAGACTAAGTTGCCTACACCCTGCATCAAAACCGCTTCCATAGAGAAGAAAAGACGGGCCATTGTCAGAGGAGACTCTCTCCTGAGGGGAGCAGAAGGCCCAGGACACAGACTGGACCCACCTCTTGGGGAAGTCTGCTGCCTCCCTGGGGCCTGGGTTAAAGATATGAAGAGAAAGCTTCCTGCCCTGGTATGGCCCTCAGATTATTACCCATTACCAATTTTTCAGGTAGGCAGGGATGAAGTTGTTAGAAGAGTCCGAGCGCAATCAAGAGAGACTTCAGGGCCTTGGGATGAGTGGTTAAGGGACCAGGAGCACAAGTCGTGTTCTCCTCTGTCCTTCCAGTTGCAGGGAATGATGAGGGAAGAAACAAGAGCAGCCAGCAGATCAGTACCTGGCTCCGAGTCCGGTGTTACCAGTAGAATCTGGGGGTTTTGATCATGGGTCAATTTATATGACCCCAGCCTTGTGGAGACAGACAGGGTACACCTGTCACAAAGGGAGAAAAGGATCCTTGAGCAGGAGCTGGCAGAGTTCATTGAGAG